CATGCCCTGGATATGATCCAGCAGGAAAACGGGTCAGCATGCTCATGTGGAAACAGATCACCGAGTGGGGCCTCTCAGGGGGACCTAGACTCTCACAGAGCTCAAGAATGGGCACAGCTGAAGCTGCAGCTTGGGATGCACCCACAGCCTGGAAAATGGCAAGGAAAGAGACCACGGACCAGGGAGGGAAGCACTGGTGCAGGACGTGGGTGCAGCGGTGGCTTTCGGGGTGAGAGGTAGGCTCACGAGGGTCCATCCCATGTCACATCTAGATGCACACACACACATTTCGTAGTTATCAACACTAATAAAACTGTACCTGGCCAAGTCACTCTGCTGTTACAGTCCTCCCGTCCCCAAATCCTAGGAGAGCCAGCCTGGGCCCAGGACCCTGCTCTCGGCTCCTCCTAGCCCACCCCCAGACAGTGGTCAGCTTGACCTGGCCCAGCTGCGCTCACCCTGGGCTCTGCCCTGTGCTCCCCTCTGCCAAGAACACCTTTCCGGAACTCCCGGCTCACTCATCCTGCAGCCGGAGTGCCACCTCAGCAGTGAGAACTTCCCCGTGTCCTCATCAAGGCGCCCCCCCCCCCAGTGTCCCCTAGAACCTGCTGCCCCCGGGCCTCCTCCATAGAGAGCAGGGAGCTCCAATCACTGCCTCCCACCCCGCCAGCCTCGGCAGGAGAAGCTGGGACCCTGCGCTAAGTTGGCGGCCTGCGTGACCGTGGTGGGCCGGTCCCCTCCAAGCTCCCAGCTCCACAGCCTCAGCCCTGATCCAGCCACACGGTTCGTTGCAAGCACTGGGTGGGGTGAGCCAGTGTCCAGTGACAGAGGGGGGCAGGTTGCTGAGCACGGGCTTGCTGCTGAGGGCTGGAGCGACACAGGCTTGTAATGGTTGTTTTTATGAGCAGAGGACGGCAGGGGGCATTTCTATCCAGTCCTGCATCTCTGAGGTTAATGAGTTCAGGGTGATTTTCTGAATCCTGAAAAGGAGTTTCAGTGTATGCAATTACTGCTTTATTCAGCCATAACCCGCGCCCACTCTGGCCAGGCGTGGGGGAGCCACAAAGGGGCTGCGGTTGTGGCCCCAGCGGTCCACAGTCTGGCTGTGCTAGTCCCAGATGCACGGTCACCTGCGGGGGGCACTGGGGGGGCAGGTGCTGCGTGACCAAATGTCAGAGCGTGACTATCTGCACGTGCCAGGTGCAGGGACCCTGACCCTCGGGTCCCGGGGAGACACTGTCACAGGGCGGGGGTCTGCAGGGACCATGGCAGACTGAGGCCGGGGCAGTCGGACCTTCTCTGGGGATCCAGAAGACTTGGAGAGGGTCAGAGCAGGCCCAGCAAGGGTGTGGGTGAGGTCGGGAGAGCCCTGGGGAGGCTGCTGGGCATCTGTGAGTCAGCGAGGTCCCGTCCCTGCCCAGTGAAGCAGATGTTAGTCACCCAAGCCCTGTGAGAAAGAGGTCACTGTGCAGGTGTGCCGCACCTGTTAACGTGCCTGGGAGACAGACGCCAGCGTGGTCACATGCTGCCCTGGGGAGATTTTGGGAAAGAGAGGACTCCGGGGGTGCCGCCAGGCCAGGGGAGGCCCTGGGTGGGGGTAGGGAAGGCAGAGAGGGGTCTGGGGCCCTCGGGAGCTGAAGGCCCAGGCAGAACTGTTTTGGAGGGGAAGAAGAGCTGGAGACTGGGCTGGACCGGTGAGGAGGAGAGGCCTGGGGTCACCTGGAAGCAGCCAGAGGAGAGAGGCCTGGGGGGCAGGTTTGGGTTACGGGGAGAAGCTGGAGCTGGTCCCACAGCCTCAGGCCTGGCCAGCGCTGCCCGGAGAGTGGGGTCTCCTGGGGTTTCCTAGGGAGGCACCAGCCTGCACAGTCTCTCTGTGGGTAGGGAGGAGGGCCTGCGAAGTTGCTTCCTTACCCCGCGCGCACAGATGGGGCTTCGTGGACGCTGCTGTGCCTTCTGGAGGGTTCGGAGATGGCAAGCCCAAGACCACGGTGTCGGCTGGCTGGTTCCTTCTGAGACGCCCCCAGGCTGATCTGGCACTCAGAGGCCGTCTTCTCCCTGCGTTCTCACGTGACCTCCTCTCTGTGCATGTCTGCGTCTGTGTCCCCTTTCCATGAGGACACCAGTCATAGTGGCTGAGGGGCCACCCTAATGGCCTTGTTTTAGCTCGGTCACCTTCAAGGCCTCTCGTCAGAGGTCCTGGGGGTCAGGGCGTCAACATATAGATCTCAGGGGGCCACAGCTCTGCCTCGAGATTGTGTGGCTGTGGGACCAGCAGTTGGCGTAACGGTTATGTCGCTGAACTCCCATGTAGTCGACCGCGGTTCGCGTCCTGGACCTGGTGGCTTAAACTCATGCCGGGCGCGTGTGCATGCGTGCCCAAGATCCTGAGGAGAGTGGAAGAGAAGGGATTGCGGCGTGGCCATCCCCCCGGGGGGTGATCTCTTGCTTTCTGTCTCTCTGTCTCTCTCTGTCTGGCGAGTGCACGCGCTCTGTAGCAAAAACCTCTCCCCCCCCAAAAAAAAGATTGTGTGTCTGGGAGGCAGGGCCCGACGCAGCCCCGCTCACGGCCGGAGCCCACGGTGACCTGGGGCCAGAGTGGCATCCCTGTGTCCGCCCGCGGCCACCCCGGTTCTCAGCATCGGCAGCCGGCCATCGGATGCGTGTCTTTCCAGACTGTTTTCTGTGGAGAAATCTGCATCGATGGGGTTTCCGGGGTGGGAACATCAGGTTTTTAAAATGAAATTGAACTCCCTGTTACAGTGAAAAGCCTCACTAATGAAAATTATGTTTCAAAACAGACGGGGGCGCTCTTGGCGCTGAGTCTGGCGCTCTGCGTGCCCTTTGCCATGGGAAAGCGCCGCTTTTCAGAAGGTGCGTCACTAAGAGGCCTGACGGTTCCAACCACATTTTCCAGCTCAATAGTCTACGAGCTCGGCCAGGCGAGGACAGTGTAAGCTGGCTGCCCACACCCCGCTCCACGATGACATCCGCTCCCGGCGGCGCTATCAGCCGGCCACGGGGGAGCCGGGCCGCACACC